GCGGGGGCCGCTGTCGGCCGGATCCCGGTGCGGGGCCCTTGCGGGGGCCGCGGCGGCGGGACCCGGGCGCCCGACGGGTTCTGTGGGGCGGCCGAAGCCGTGGCGCCGCCAGGCCGGTGGGGGCCGGTGCTGCCCTGCCCGTGGCGGCTCCTCGGGGCAGGAGCCGTGGGGCTGGCACTGGCCGGGTCCCGCACCGGGGCCGTTGCCGGGGTGAGGTTGGCCGGGGTGCGGAGGGTCCCCGCGGGACGGGTTCCTCGGGTCCTACCGGAGGAGGCCGGGGCCGATCCCGGCCCGTAGCGCCCCGGGAGCACGTGCCGGGCGCGGGGAGCAGGCCTGGATCTCCCCGCTCCGGCTGCTTCCTCCCTTTTGGGGAAACGGAGCGGCGGAAACCGGCGCTTCCTCTGGCCGGGGCTGCGTGGGGAACGGCTGATAGCACGGGGGCGGCGGGGGGGGAACCCCGGCTCCCGGGGGTTCCTCCTGCCCGTCCCAGCTGCCTCCTGCACCCGGAGTCACGGGGCCCTGTCCCTCCCCGGAGGGGACGTGGGGGTTGGTGACAGCTCGGTTCCGCTTGCTGCACCCCCTCTCCCCTGCCCACCCTGGGGTCTGTGGCACGGCCCTGGGCTGCGCAGAGCTGGGGGCATCCCTGCCACCCCCCACCCTGCTGGCCATCCCATGTGGGTCCCCTTCCCCAGTGGTGCCAGCCCCATGGGACAGCGGGCAGTGGGGACAGTGGCAGGGCTGGAGCGGGGTCCCCCGGGCACCGGTGGCAGTGCCAAGAGCACAGCAACGGCAGGAGCCGTCTTGGAGCTTCCTGTGGCCCATGGGCCACGCTGGCTCCGGAGGTCCGGGCTGGCGTGGGCGGCTGTGACGCCAGCTCCCCAGGGAGCCCTTTGCCGGGGCCGGGGGGTCCTTGGAAACCCACAAGTTTGGCCACCCCTTCCTGGGAGCGTGGGAGCAGCTGCCCCAGCGCTGCCACCGCAGCTCCTCTCCCGGTTATTTATATCCCTGAGAAGGAGCCGGCCACCGCTGCCTCCTCCTCCTCCTCCTGTGGGCCGTGGCTGAAGAGCTGGGCACTGTCTCCGTGCCCACAGCCGTGTGGGAGCACGGAGGGCCCTCCCTGGCAGTGGGACAGTCACTGCAGGAGCTGGCACGGTGCACGGTGCCAGGGCTGCATGGCAGGTGCCTTAATGCCACGGGTCAGGGGTGCCCGGCCCTGCCCCACGGCATAGCCGTACCTGCAGCAGCTCCCCCCTCCCCGCCCCCCCCCCCCTCCTCCTCCTCCTGTGGGCCGTGGCTGAAGAGCTGGGCACTGTCTCCGTGCCCACAGCCGTGTGGGAGCACGGAGGGCCCTCCCTGGCAGTGGGACAGTCACTGCAGGAGCTGGCACGGTGCACGGTGCCAGGGCTGCATGGCAGGTGCCTTAATGCCACGGGTCAGGGGTGCCCGGCCCTGCCCCACGGCATAGCCGTACCTGCAGCAGCTCCCCCCTCCCTGCCCCCCCCCCCTCTTCCTGTGGCTATTTTTAGCAGCCATCTCTTTTTCTTGGCGTTTCGTGGCGTGCTCTGGCCTGTCACGCCTCTGGCTGCCCCGTCGGGCTGCAGCTGGCAGGAGCGGCCATGCGTCTCCCCGGGCAGCATCCACCGGCGCTGCCGCGGCCCTGCACCCTGCCCACCCCGGTGCCTGCCCGTGCCTGGGCCCTGCCTCGTGTCCCAGCACGTGTGTCGGGGGCATCACGTGAGAGGCACCGTCCACGTCAAGTTGTGCTGCGGGAAGAGGAGGAGGAACCGGCCCCCGTGTCCCGCTGCTGGGCCAGGGACTTCCCTGTGCCGTGTCCCACCGCCGCGGGCAGGAAGTCAGCGGCCCCATTACAATGGGACTTTGTGCCGTAAGCGTATTACTCAGCACTGACCTTGTGCAATTCTGCACGGTATTCAGCCCGACGGGTCAGCTGAGGACGCGTGGCCAGTGTGCCCGGTGGCTGCCCCCGAGCCCCCCAGGGTGCCCCAGCTGCAGCCTGGGCTCCTGGGAGCACAGGGGCTTTCTGCTCCACGGCAGCAGGATGCGAGTCTGTCCCACTGGGCTGGCAAGGAGGCGAGCAGTCGTCGGGGGGACGTTTGGGGGGTGTCAGGAGGTGACCGTGGGACTGAGACTTCTCCTTCCCCCCCCAGGGGTCCCTGGAGGTGAGCCTGAGCCAGCCCACCCGCAGCAGCAGTGGCTCGGAGCGGTGAGTGACCCCCTGTCTCTGTCCTGTCGGGCGTCCCCCGCGTGGTGGTGTGGGAGCTGGGGCCCTGGCACGCGATGGTGGGACACGCTGGTGCCAGTGTGTGCCGTACCACCCTGCCCACGGGTGCTGTGTCCGTCCATTGGCTAAAGCAGGGGATGGCAGAGCTGGGACTCCCACTCTCCATCCCAATCCCTGGCGCATCCTCGGGCACGTCTCCATCCCTCTGCCATGCCGGATGGTTGGCTGCCGCCCGCTCAGCCGATGGGGCTGTCCGTGGCTCCTCCTGTGCCAGGAGGCTCTGCCGGGCCATGTCCACCGGCGGAGGCCGTGCCCTGGGGCAGCGTGTGCCCGGGGAGATGGGGTGCTGCAGCGCAGGGGCCTGCTCGCTCCCCGTCCTCCCAGTGCTGACGCTGCTGCCAACATTCCTTCCTGGTTGTTCATTTTCCGAATTCCTTGGCAGGGCCGCGACTGCAAACAGCTTATTTTTAGCCAGGGTCATCTGCACCCGATGGCTCTGCCGCGTTCCCACCGTGGGGCTGGGGGGTGCCCGGAGATCCTGGGGACCCAGCTGACCCCAGCCCCTGGGCTTGTCTCCCCTCTTGGGGGCTGTGGGAGGCACCCGTGGGCACCCAGGCTCAGCCCCGTGTTGTCCCCAGGTCCCTGCTTGTCGCGGAGGAGATGCGCAGCCTCATCGTGGAGAAGGGCCCGGGGCCAGTGGAGGATGACCCTGACGCTCTCGTGAAAGGTGGGCACAGGGGTCTCTGCCTCCGGAGCAGCCGGGGCTGGCAGGATTGTGCCCCAACTGTAGCTGGATCCCATCCCGGAGGGTCAGGGGGCACCAGCTGGGCTGGCGGGGAGCGGGCAGACCCTGGCCAGAGCCAAAGAACCATGGGGGTGGATGGTGCCAGCGGCGGGGGCTGACGTTTCCCGTTCCAGGCTGGCTGCAGCGGGAGGTGCGGGGTGGCATGAAGACCCCCTGGATCCGGCCTCGGAAGTACTGGTTTGTGCTGACGCCTGACTCCCTGGACTACTACAGCAGCAACGAGAAGGGTGCCCGGCGACTGGGCTCTCTCGTGCTCACCAGCCTCTGCTCCGTGCTCTGGCCGGACAAGCAGACCTACAAGGAGACGGGTAGGGTGTCTGCGCCCCTCCGTTGGGCTGCACCTCGTGTCCTGTGTCGCCCTCCCAGCCCCAGGAGGTCTCTGTCACCCTGAGGAGGGGCTGTGCCAAGCCCTGGGGTGCTGAGTAGCCTGGCTTGGGTGGGGGTCCTTGGGGTGAGGGCGCTGGGGGGCAGTGGGTGAGGTGTCTGTCCCTCGCAGGCTACTGGAACGTGACGGTGTTTGGCAGAAAGCACTGCTACCGCCTGTACACGGAGCACCTGAACGAGGCCGTGCACTGGGTGTGCGCCGTGCAGAAGGTCATCGACAGCAAAGTGCCCGTCCAGACGCCCACCCAGCTGCTCATGCGCGATGTTGAGGTGAGCCCGTGGCACAGGGATCCCGTGCCTGCAGCCCTCAGGGGCCTACATGCCATGGGGCAGCAGTGGGTGCCTGGGCCGGGCAGCCCCTCTGCAGCTCCTGCCATGGTTCCCCCCTCCCAGGAGCACTGTGGCAGCCCCGAGGTCCTGGAGCAGATCTACCGCTGCAACCCCATCCTGCGCTACACCAGCAGCCCCCTCTACGCGCCCCTCCTGCCCTTCCCCTACGGCAGCCTGGACCAAAGTGGTGAGGGGTGGGCGAGGGTCCCGTGCCCGGGCAGGGGGGAGCAATGGTGGGGCCGGGCTGGGCTCAGTACGGTGCCTGGCTGGCAGGGGGAGGGTCTGGGGAAACCCATGGGGCTGTTAACCCCCATCCTGTCCTGCAGCCCCCGGCCCCCGCAGCTACACCACGCTGCGCGACGAGGCCGTGAAGCTCTTCAACTCGCTGCAGCAGCTGGAGTCGGAGCGGGACCCGGTGCCGCTGATGCAGGGCGTCCTGCAGACCTGCCTGGACCTGCCGCCGCTGGTGGACGAGATCTACTGCCAGCTGGTGAAGCAGACCACGGAGCCGGCGGCGCCGGGCGGGCAGGGCGACCTGCACTACTGGCAGCTGCTCACCTGCATGAGCTGCACCTTCCTGCCCTCCCCGCCCGTCCTGCGCTTCCTGCGCTTCCACCTGGACAGGTAAGTGCTGGTGGAGCCGCCGGGCGTGGGGGCCCCCACTGGATGGGCATCGCTGTGACCCCCCCACTCCCTGGCATCTCCCGCAGGACAGAGAGCCGTTTCCCCACCTCGGAGATGGCCAAGTACGCCTGCTTCATCCGGGAGGCGCTGGGGAAGACAAAGGGGCGGGAGTGCGTGCCCTCCCTGGAGGAGATCCTGGTGCTGATGCGGCGGCAGGAGATGATCTGCACCGTGCACTGCCCGGGTGCACCCGCCTGCAGCGTGGCCATCAGCTCCCACACCACGGCCGAGGAGGTAAGGGGCCATCTCCGTGCCGGGCGGGGGGGCTTGGGACATTGTGGCACACGGGACTGGGAGGATGGGGTGCTATGAGGGGTGGGGATGCTCATGTGGGTCTCTCCCAGCCCAGCTGCGGTGGAGAGGGGCCGGGGGCTGCCTGTGACCTGTCTGTATCCCTTTGCAGCCCTGAGCGCCGCGGCCAGGGGTGCGCAGTCACCGTCGGTTGCCTTTGTCTCGCCCCAGGTGGCCCGGGAGCTGGTGTCGCGCCTGGGGCTGTCCCAGAGCCCCAACCTCTTTGCGCTCTACGAGCAGTCCCGGCGGCGAGAGCAGCCCGTGGCCAGCGCCACGCTGCTGGCTGACGTCCTCACCAGGTTTGAAAAGTAAATGTCCCGCTCTGCTGCCTACGGGGGAGAGGGGCTGGGGGGGCCCGGGAGTGGGAGGGGGACGGTGTGGGGGTGTCTGCCCCCCACACCGATGGGGCTGGTCCCTTCTGCTGCAGCCTGGCCGGGGAGGAGCGGGAGCAGGACCCGCCGTGTCGGCTCTGCTTCAAACACTACGGCTTCTTGGACACGGATAACGTCCCGCGTGACAGCCTGGAGTTCGCCCTCCTCTTCGAGCAGGTGAGAGCTGCACAGGGGTGGCTGTGCTGTGGTGGCTGTGCCAGGGTGGCCGTGCCGTAGTGGTTGTGCCAGGGTGGCCATGCCGTGGTGGCTGTGCCAGGGTGGCCGTGCCATAGTGGCTGTGCCGTGGTGGTTGTGCCATGGTGGCTGTGCCAGGGTGGCCGTGCCATGGTGGCCGTGCCGTGGTGGCTGTGCCAGGGTGGCCATGCCATAGTGGCTGTGCCGTGGTGGCCGTGCCATAGTGGCTGTGCCAGGGTGGCCATAGTGGCCGTGCCGTAGTGGCTGTGCCAGGGTGGCTGTGCCGTGGTGGCCGTGCCAGGGTGGCCATAGTGGCCGTGCCAGGGTGGCCGTGCCGTGGTGGCCATGCCGTAGTGGTTGTGCCAGGGTGGCTGTGTCGTGGTGGCCGTGTCGTGGTGGTTATGCCAGGGTGGCCGTGCCGTAGTGGCCGTGCCAGGGTGGCCATGCTGTAGTGGTTGTGCCAGGGTGGCCGTGCCATGGTGACCAAGCTATGCCAGCTCACCCTGCCCTCCCGCAGGCGCACGAGATGGTGCTGCGGGGCTACGTGCCCACGTCGGAGGAGACGCTGCAGACGCTGGCCGCCCTGCGCCTGCAGAGCCTCAACAGCGACTTCTCCACCCACGCACCCTTCCCGCGCCTGGAGGAGCTCTTCCCGCCCCACGTCCTGCACGCCCGCCTGCCGCCCCCCCGCCGGCGGACCCCCACCAAATGCCGGGGGGCTCGGCTGCGCGCGGGGCTGCTGGCTGGAGGGCTCTGGGGGCAAACGCTGGCCAAGCAGCGGGCGGAGCGGGACCAGCGGCTGCGGGGCCGGCTGCGGGAGGAGGGGGCCAGCACCATGGCTGCCATCGTGGAGAAGTGGAAGCTGCTGCAGGGCATGGGCCGGCCCGAGGCCATGGCCGCCTACGTGGCGCTGGTGCGGGAGTGGCCCGGCTTCGGCTCCACGCTCTTCGACGTCGACCTGCGTGCGGTGAGGCCCCGGCAGGGGAGGGGTGGGGGGCAGCCCCAAGGGTGGGCAGCCCTGACGCCCCTCTCCCCACAGAGCCCGGTGGGGGCCGGTCCCCAGCGGCTGTGGCTGGGCATCGGGGCCAAGGCCGTCTCGCTCTACAAGCCCGGGGAGCCTGAGCCCTTGGACAGCTTCTGCTACGGCCGCATCTCCTCCTTCGGTGCCTCCGACAGCAGCACTTTCCGCCTCTCCGTGGAGGACCGGGACCTGCTCTTTGAGACCTCCCAGGTACTGCCAGGGGCTGCCATCCCTCCATCCCTCCTTCTCTCCTTTCCTCCATCCCTCCATCCTTCTTTTCCCCCCCCCCATTCCTTCTTTTCCCCCC